AGCGAAGACGAACAGAAAGATAATCACGACAGATACGACGAATTCGATAGCAACGGCAGTAACAGCAAAGACGTCAATTACAAAAAGAAAAAAGTGGTGTTACTACTTCATCGTGGATATTTTACAGAGAATTTCATTGTATTGGTTGTGTTCAATGTAATTGTTGAGAAGTCAAATGTATAAACAAAATACCTCAAACACAATGGATGCAACAAGCAATGGAGCTTCGGGTAGTGCAGTGGCTTGTCCAGTCTGTACCCTCTATTTACGTGAGGGTATCAGCCTACAAAGACATTTGGACACTCATCCAAAAGAACAAGTCATTGAAGCTCTTATCAAAGCTAGTACTAACTCCTTAAATGTGCAACAGACACAGTTATCATCATCGGCACCTCCGGCATCTCCAGCTATGCAATCACCCCAAAGTACACCTCAAGTTACGCAGAATACTCACTTATCGGCTCAATCTCCATATCCTATAGGACCTATTTTCGAGTGTCCACCTATTGGTACTGTGATGCCACCTCAATTTGCTTCATTTAGTTATCAACAATTTGTAAATAATGGCACTATGATGATACCACAATATGCAATGGCTCCGCAAGCTAATCAAATGATGCAAATGCTGTATAATCCATATAGTATGTATCAGCAGCAACAAATACCAACTGTTCAAATGATTTCACCAGTCACAGCCATACCTAATACAGCTAGAGTCAGGCCAGTGGTGACTATGGCTGGTGAAACAAGTAATAGAACTGCCATTGCTGTACCTGTAAATAATTCCGAGCCAAAACAAATTTTACCTGAGATTTTACCTGAATCTGAGCAAGAGTCTGAACAAGTGTTACCAGATATCAACCTTCCAGTTTCTCCTCCATTATTAAATGAAAATAATTCTATGCAGCAAAATGAAAGTGAAAATAGTACAATTCAGATAGAACAAGAGGCAGAAGAAGCTCGTAGTTCAAGTACCCCAGAGCCGCATACTGTGCAAAATGAATATGATAGCATTCCAAGATCATTGGCAATTACTTGTAATGTCAATATCACTACAGAGGATAAAGATGAGAGTGTATTGCCGGATATTGATGATGGAGAATCATCATGTGTCGTTACTACAAACATACAATGTAAGTCTATTCATTATGAATCATCTGAAATGCAGGAATATATACATAGATATGAAGATGATGATGATAACAATAAAATTATTATGTCTGAAGTATCACCGATGGTAACAGAAAATGTGACAGATAAAACAACTACTGAAAAAGTTCCTCACAGAGAAGAAATAAGTGAAAATGAAGGTACCTCAGCAGAAATGCCCGTAGAAAATACAGTAAAAGCCCCAGCTCAACCAGAAGTAGAACAATTAGAACGTCTTTTAATCACTATTATGGAGAATGAATTTAATAATACCCCACAGAAAGAATCCAATTTTGAAGATGATAAAAAGAAAAGTAAAGATACAAAGAAAAGTCCTTCTCCTGAAAGGGCCAAAAGTGTAATACATGAAACAACCACTAATAATCCCATTGAATATGAAAACACTTGTAAATCTGATATAAAAGTACAAGTTAATCAAACCTCGGAAATTGATATAGATAATGATGAAAATAAAAATTCTTGTCTTTCATACCATTATAAAAACAGTTTGTCTGCACCCGCATCGCCTGTTGTAGAAAGGAGACCACGTAGGACTTACTCTGTTCGTTCAGAGTTTAGTTCAAGTGAACGTCTCAATTTTTATTCAATTAGTTTTGATACAAACACATTGCAAGATGAAGAAGATGATGAAGATGAGAAAAATGAAGCAGAAGATAATTTCGACGAGGCAGATATGGAAATAGAGGAAATACTTAGTCCACATACTCCTTTCATTAAATATGGTGAGAATACAGATAATTTTAGATCTCATACTCCATTGTCTGCCAGTAGTGGTATTTCTGTATTAAGGGTTAGAAAGGATCTTAGTAAACCATGTTCACCTGCTTCGGTGCATTCATTTTGTCATATGGATACTAACGGTATAGATCACGATGAAGAAACTGATGTAGCAATGAACGAATCACCAGAAAAAGATCCAATCGATTGTTCTATGGTTGAACAAGATGTAAAAGCTGATCAATCAGAACTTTCCTTATGCAAAAATGAGAAGAAAATGGAAGGAGATTCTGCATATCAATCTGGAATTAGTGACCACATGAGTTCATTTTCTACAATTCATTCACAACATTCTCAACAATCAACATCAATGGAATATAACACACCAAGTAAAAGTAATAATTATGTAAATTTATCAGAATCTAGTGATGTTGCAAGTAACTCTGACTCAAAGAGTTTTCATTCATCTAAATCAATTATACAAAAGCAATCTGTGGAACTTCTTAGTTTAAATGAAGATGCCCATGCAGGTCCAATGAATGTATTTGAATTTGATGGGCTTCAAATCTTAGTTCCTAGTACATTCATAAGTGATTCTTCACAAAAAGCAGTTAGTGGAACCAGCCAGCAATCTATGGCAAGTAGTGAAGGTGGAGTAGGTATAGATGAAGAAGTTAAAAGTATTAATATGAGAGCTGATGAAACTATGCCACCTAGAGGTGAACTATCAGAACAAGAAAGCAATGGCTATACGGAACAATCTGCTTGGCAGGTATGTATAGATATAATTATAAATATTTCACATTAGAGTTAAATAGATATGTAAATATTTCAACAAATAATTTGAGTGTAATTAGATTAAACTTTGAAAGATTTAAATCAATATTAAATGTATATTTTGTGAGAAAATTTTCTATAAATATAACAAATTTTTTTATAAAAATTATATTTATACTAATAAATTTATTTCGTACATTCAGCTATATGCTGGTCAAGAATCATCAAGAATGTCAACATCCTATGATTTAATGGCACGTGAAAGTTGGGAAGAATCCGATGGATCCGATAATGAAATTGCAGGCCCACTATTAGATAGCAGATCTTTAGCAACACATTTTACATCAAGTTTATTTTTAGATCGAGATAGGAAAACTCCTACAAAAAGAATGTTCAAATGTTATCATTGCCCTGAAATGTTTGATTGTCCGAAAGAACGCCGGGTACATAGTACTACTGCGCACAAAGAAGCTGGTCCGAGTAGTAGTAGAGATTCTACAGAACAACCTGAAGTAAAGGATATTAAGTTACTGGATGGCCGTATGAATGTATTTGAAGATATTTTTGTACCAGGTTTACATGTTCAGCAAGTTTATCATCAACAACCACTGTTGCATCAACTTCAACCACCACAATCATCCGATGTAATTACAAAAGTAGAAGCTGATCAAAAAATTGAAACACTAGTACTACCATCAAACATTGAAGTGATTTGCACTCTTTGCAATCAGAGATTTAGTAGTGAAAAATCATTGCAGCTACACCATAGAAGGGTACATATTACAGAAACAACAAAACGAATTCGTGAGAGCACCAAGTGCCAGATATGCCATGAAGAATTTCCTTCAGTTCTCTTATTTAATGCCCATTTGAAAATACATCCATTAGAATGTAGTCAGTGTGGAAAGTATTTTTATAGGAAACAAAATTTCAAACTACACATGAAACGACATTTAGGAATTAAACCATTTCCATGTACTGTTTGTGACAAAGCATTTTTAACAAAACAGAAATTAGATGAGCATACCAATGGTCATACTGGGAATGCACCTGTTAAGTGTAATCTTTGCAATGAAACGTTCCGTAGATATTCAAATTTAACACAGCACAAAAATAGACATCATTTGAATATAAAGAAGAAATTGAAAGATTACATATGTCATTGTGGTGAGGTTTTTCATACAAAGAAAAAGTTGGCTTGGCATAAAGAAACACACGATGAAAAACCCAAAGCATGTACATATTGTAATGAAAGATTTATCCATATGGCCAGCTTGACTAGACACATGCGCCGAGCTCATAATAAAAGATTCGTTCCAGATGCTCAAAGAGAGAGCGAAAATGTTGAATGCCCTGTATGTAAGTGTATTTATTTACGATCTTCCTTGGCAGTGCATATGCGAGTTCATAATGGTGAGAGACCATATGAATGTCAAGTTTGCTCTAAAGCATTTAGTACTAAGTGGAACTTACAATTGCACAAATGGACTCACGCTGCCCGTAACACCAAACCTTTCAAGTGTAATCAGTGTAGTGGCGCGTTTTACCGGCATAGTGATTATACTGCTCATATGAATTCTCATAGAAACGTGCGTCCTTATACTTGTAACTATTGCGGAGCGCAATTCATACGAAAATATAATTGTTTAAGGCATGTAAAGGAACATGAAGAGAACAAAGCTTATACATGCGATGTTTGCAACAAAACTTTTCATAGATCATATTATCTGAAAGAACATTTGCGAGTACATTCAGGTGCCAGACCATACACATGTCATATTTGTGGAAAGTCTAGCGGTACGAAATCCAATCATAACAAACATGTCAGAATTCATCATGCACGAGAACCTGTAAATACCGAAAATTAAAGAACGAACGAGACTTTTGATCTAGTTTACTTATAGTATCAACATTTTTAAAAATACTATCTCGCAATATTTTATCTTAACGTTTTACCTCTTATTCTTTTATGTATCTAAAATTCTTTTCTTTACTTGAAAAGCGAAGAAAATAATAATTCAGCACAAAGAAAGTAATATATCTATATATTATGTTTCTTTTGAAAATCTCGTTTGTTTCTATTATTGTTTCTTAGATATTTTAATATAGACATTTTAAACTTGAATTAACTGCTAATATCTAGCAGTTCTACTAGATAAAAGGATTTTATTTGTCTTAATTGCGAAAAAAAGGAAGGACGACTTTACGTTGTATTGTGCATTGTGCATTGTATGTTGCACTTCGTAAATTTTCGTCATATAGTCCATTAAATACAATGACTCGAGACTGTAACTACTTAAGATAATAAGAAATTTTTAACAAATATTAACTGGTACATGTCTGAAGATTTGAATAACTTCCATAAAGGAAAACTATACGATGAAATGCTTTTTGCCAACTTACACTAATTAACTATTAGGTAGTAATAACTAACTGATCGATATTATGAAATCATTAAGCACTTTTATGTGTTGATCATTGTACGAAATTTTTTTACAATAACTATTTTACACAAAGCATACATATATATTACAATTTTATGTATTGGCATTGAATGTGAGAAGGAACTGGAAGGCCCATATTTATGTGCGTTGAATTATAACGCATAAGATCTTATCAATAATTAGCTTTATTAATTATCACAAGGTAGTTACGGATCTTAGTTATTATTCTTTTATATTTATGTATTTCGCAGATTATATTTTATCGCTAATTCCAAGACTGATCGATGTTGGTTCCTCATATTGCTCTCCGATATGCATATATTTGTATTAAACGTAATAAATATTAATCATATTAATATATGATGTCTTAAATAATACAAGCAAGAACCAGCGTGTGAGTGATATGAAATATTTGATATAATGATACTGTGACAAATGTCTTAATAGTTAATTGTTCTACATTAAAATATTTAGCAGGTCATGTATCATTTAATTTCTAGAGAGCAGTATGAATGATGGAGCGGTAATCTATTAAATATATTGAAATTACGTTGTATTGTACGAAGGACGTTTTGTTACGAAACTAACTTTCTCTGGATCGTTATTATAAATTTTAACAAAGCTGCATGAAACATTACTTTGAAAGTGATTATTTTGTTTCCATATTATACTTTGAGTTTCTTCTTGTTACTAGTTATTTAACAAATTACATTTTAGTGTTGTTGATAGTTAATAAATATAACAATTTTTTGATATTGCCGATCATTAAATGAAACTTATTTTCATGTATAACCAACATCGATGTCCCAATGTGCAATCGTTTAGTTAAACATATGTATTCTAATTGAATGAAAGTGTAGATAATGTAAATATGTATATCAGTTTTATTTTATAACTGAACCAACAAATTGTGTTGGCAATTAATAATTGTCTAAAAGCGACTCGTACTCTTATGAAAATAAAAATAGGCTAATTACTATCATAAAAAGAAAATATAAATCAGCAACATGTGTATACCTTAATAAAAATTATGTATTGAGGTACTTTTTTAAATAAGTTTTCCTTTGTATTTTTATTACAAGTACCAATACCATGTTTGTTTCTCATTTGTTAAATGGAAAATGTAATGTAAAAACACGATAAAGTACGAACAAATGTATAAAAATTTGGCAAAAATATTCAGGACAAACATGTTATGGATTTAAAAAAAATGTAGACTCTATTTTTCATTTGAAACATTAGCTAGATGAAAGACTAATTTTAAGATATTTATTAAAACATAAGTGACGTTTATTTAAATGTACATACATACATGTATGTGTCATGCAATTATTTGATTAATACTTCATGAATTATTATTTGTTAGAATATTTATTGATAAATTAAAAAGAAAATGTAATAATTTTAATACTATGTGTGTGTATCTTCAAATATAATTTCAAGTACTCGCACAATTTTACTAATTTCAGAGTTTAAAATTTATGTAAACAAAATTGTTTTTTAGCAGATGTGTTTATTCTGAGATTCAATATATTTTACATTTATAAAATCACATTCATTTAGAGTGTTTTTTGTAGAAAATAGGAAATTTTAAAATTAAAATATTTGCTACTTTTATTTAAAACAGTATAACTTATTAATATAAATATAATTACAAGTTCAAAAATAAATTTAATAATTCCATGCTTAATATGAAACAATACGTTGGCAAAAGATAATAAATATGAAATAATATCTTTTATTTTCAGAGTAAACCAAATTTTGAACTGTCCATACAACAAACTTCATACATATATAGCATCGATTTATGTTTAAAATTTTATACATTGACTTAATATATTAATTTGAAAGAATAATTTCTATTTAATTAATATCGCTATACTTTCAGATTCTTGCTATTTAAAATCATTAAAAAAAATTGAGTTATTTAGTTTTATACAATCAAAAAAGTAAAAAGTCAATTTTTAATTTCTAAATATGATTCAAACTCAATTTGTAGAAAATATCAACAAACAACATCAACGTTTTTTACGAGATTTAGAAGGTCGAGTGTTCTTCTTAGCAGAATTAGAAGTCTCTGGAATCACTATACGACCTGATGCAATTTCTTCTCGTAACTCAGAGTTTTCGACTTTATTTTGAGCATCAAGATAAAACATTAAATCTTGTACTTGTTCCTTCAAATTTGTTACTTCTGTTTGCTTTGTTTTTTGGTACTCAGTCATTTCATTTTGCAGCATTTTATATTTATCTTGCCAAGAGGCTTGATTTAATTCTAATGCCTTTCTTAATTCTTTTTCTTCGGTTAGTTCTGCTTGTACTTGTATCAATTTATTACTAACTTGTTGCAGTCGTTTATCCACATTTTGCTTCTCCCGACTTAATATTGCTAATTGTTCCTAAAATATGTAGTAAAAATAATGAACTTTCTTTTTAATTTTCAAACCACAAATGTTAATAAAAATTACCTTAACTTTAGCATTTTCTTCTGATACCTGACCCAATTTTTCTCTAAGTTCTGTAGTCTGTAATACAGAATGCTGTTCTAATCGTGCTAATCTATCCTCAAAGTACTGTCTTTGAGTTTCTAATTGTGATGTTAGAAGATATGTAAATTCCAACTGTACGGAATCTACTTTTTCTTCCATTGCAGCTCCTTCGGCTTTTGTTGCCGTAGGACCACCTTCAACCATTTTTCCATCTTTATTTTGCAATAATCGATGAACAAAATTATCTCCAACATAATCCCAGACTCTGTTATTTCCTAATTGCATAGCATAACAATGATGTGTCTCGCGATAATGTTGAAATGCATGTCCCTGGTGATACCGCGAACAACCAATATGTCCACATATTAAACAGATCCACAAAGCATCATTGCTTTCTCCAGTATCTAAAAAATATTCGCACAATTTTATTTGTGATATTTTCAATAAATATTTTTAATAAAAAATTATTTTCTACATACTGCATTCCATGCAATAACTATCTGCAAATGATTCTGGTGTTTGAGCATATCTACAAACTGGACAAGAGGTATCTCCCCATTTAGCTAAACAACTTGCATGAAATGTGTGATTACATAAAATTGTTAAAATTCCATCAACACTTTCATCCATTCTCTCTAAACAAACTGGACAAAGTGGCAATTCTGTGTGTCCAGACAATGGCATAGCATTATATGTCACTTCTACACTGTATACAAATACCATGTGACAAATAACATCCGGTTCAAAAGAATTGTACGGAGTGCCATTAAAAGAACCATAAAATTCTGTTGCTGCATTCTAAAATATCATATGAAATTTGATGTATAACAATGAAAAATCAGTATATAAAAAGAATTTGATTCATTAAAGATAATTACGGCAGATTTAAAGGTAATTAATGCCATATATTGATTAGGACTACCATCTCTAAGTATTCTAAAATGTCGAACATCTTGATGGCAAGGTGCTGTAAATCTTAGAAGATCATGACAGGTCATTGTAGCTGGAACTGAGAGAATGCAGATAGTTTGGGTACGTTCTGCTGCGTGATGTATATCTGTTAATTTGCTAGAATTTATTGATATTATTAGATATTGTGAAACAAATATAAACGATTGCAGTTTATTATAATTAAATGATGCTTAAAATTAAAGAGTACTTACTTTTCCTTATATAAATGTATAATTCCTTTGGTCACTTCAACAAATGGATTTCCGGAGATGAAATTGATTTGGTCACAGGCACAAGCACTTGCACCAGCTATCTCTGAATCATCATAAGTATTTTCTTCGGAATTAGCTCTAGAAGTAGAGCTAGATTTGCTAGTCCCTTGAGAAGGAAGTACAGAGTCTTGTTTCTCTGTAAGGTTTGTGCAATTTTCCATGTTTATTTTGGTTGGTTCTCTGCGACCTCTCATCTTGGTAGCCATTGCGCCTGGATTACGAAATCCACTGTGAATTAATCATGATACAAACAAGGTATGATCTTTGTATTTTTAATAATTGTCTTTTAGCAATCTTCATACTTAAATATTTGAAAGCGTCTCTTAAGATTGTAAAAATTGGTTAATAATATTTAGTTTGTAAAGGATAAAACAAACAAAGATGAAGAATTATGTAAATTAACAAAATATTTTACAAGTTTAGCTTCTATATAATGAAATGTAATAAAAAAAAATACAAACGATTCTTCCTAAATATATTTTATTTATTCGTGTACTTCCTTATAGGTAACTACCTTATATGTGAAATTACATGAATTTTATAGAAAAGGTTAATAATATAAGCACAATATTGTTATGACAAACAACATAACCTTAAAAGGACTTGTAAACAAAAAGATTAATCGAAGCGATTCATCATAAAAACAACTAGAAAATACAAGTCAGTAATAATAGTTGAATATTACTATTCTAATATATGATACACATAAATATTTACCATTAGATTCTTCAGAATCCTCATCAACAATCTCGACGCGAATAACGCAGAGAGATACCGAAATAGGAGAAGAACTCATCCCATAAAATAATACTTATTGCGCATTATTACAAACAAATTTATCATTGTGCTTACTATTCTTAACTACTTTGTTAACTCTAAGCAATCCCCATGATTAATTGACAACGACCTTATTAAGGTGTCACACTATTTCCCATTAATAGGTTAACTTTATCTTCCACTCATTGCACCTTTATCTAATTGTCACAAGTTATCGTAGATTGATTACATGTCTGATTACATGTAAGCTTACGAGTACGATGAATTGTGAAGATCACAATTTATGTATTTTTTTTTT